AACATAAGTATATTCTAGAAATCAAGGCGTAGGGTTTGAGGTTTGATGTCGTCTGAGGGTAACGAAAAAATTTTTCTAACTCTTATGTTTTGGGATTCTTTGGGTGGGTGGGTATTCTTCCAGGTTCTTACTAGCGAACTTGACTAGATACTGCTCGACCAGAGCTGCTGAACCCTAAACCCTAAACCCTAAACCCTAAACCCGAAACCCTAAACCCTAAACCCTAAACCCTAAACCCCTAAACCCTAAACCCTAAACCCTAAACCCTAAACCCTAAACCCTAAACCCTAAACCCTAAACCCTAAACCCTAAACCCTCAAGAAAGTGATAAATAGAAATTGCTTGTCCTTGTTTGTAACCACCGCTAAGGCCCAGCATTTCGGTTGAAACTGGCGTTAGCGTCTTGATAATCCAATTTCGCACATTCACAACCTCAACCATTAACTCAGCCCAGCCAACTCAAGACAGCCACCCGATCAAAAACGGAACAAGCTTCTTGATAAACCAATTTCGCACAACCACGACCTCAACTTCTAACTCAGCCCAGCCAGCCAAGCCAACCCTGTCCAGCCCAGCCCAGCCCAGCCGGCCCAACACACCGATTGAAAATTGAGTAAGCTTCTTGATAAACCAATTTCTCCACAAACTTGTAACCACTAGGAGCAGGCCACGAAAGGCCAGGAGCAGGCCACGAAAGGCCAGGAGCAGGCCACGAAATGCCAGGAGCAGGCCACGAAAGGCCAGGAGCAGGCCACGAAAGGCCAGGAGCAGGCCACGAAAGGCCAGGAGCAGGCCACGAAAGGCCAGGAGCAGGCCACACGAAAGGCCAGGAGCAGGCCACGAAAGGCCAGGAGCAGGCCACGAAAGGCCAGGACCAGGCCACGAAAGGCCAGGACCAGGCCACGAAAGGCCAGGAGCAGGCCACGAAAGGCCAGGAGCAGGCCACGAAAGGCCAGGAGCAGGCCACGAAAGGCCAGGAGCAGGCCACGAAAGGCCAGGAGCAGGCCACGAAAGGCCAGGAGCAGGCCACGAAAGGCCAGAAGCAGGCCACGAAAGGCCAGAAGCAGGCCACGAAAGGCCAGGAGCAGGCCACGAAAGGCCAGGAGCAGGCCACGAAAGGCCAGGAGCAGGCCACGAAAGGCCAGGAGCAGGCCACGAAAGGCCAGGAGCAGGCCACGAAAGGCCAGGAGCAGGCCACGAAAGGCCAGGAGCAGGCCACGAAGGGCCAGGAGCAGGCCACGAAAGGCCAAGAGCAGGCCACGAAAGGCCAAGAGCAGGCCACGAAAGGCCAGGAGCAGGCCACGAAAGGCCAGGAGCAGGCCACGAAAGGCCAGGAGCAGGCCACGAAAGGCCAAGAGCAGGCCACGAAAGGTCAAGAGCAGGCCACGAAAGGCCAGGAGCAGGCCACGAAAGGCCAGGAGCAGGCCACGAAAGGCCAGGAGCAGGCCACGAAAGGCCAGGAGCAGGCCACGAAAAGCTAGGAGCAGGCCACGAAAGGCCAGGAGCAGGCCACGAAAGGCCAGGAGCAGGCCACGAAAGGCCAGGAGCAGGCCACGAAAGGCCAGGAGCAGGCCACGAAAGGCCAGGACCAGGCCACGAAAGGCTAGGAGCAGGCCACGAAAGGTCAGGAGCAGGCCACGAAAGGCCAGGAGCAGGCCACGAAAGGCCAGGAGCAGGCCACGAAAGGCCAGGAGCAGGCCACGAAAGGCCAGGAGCAGGCCACGAAAGGCCAGGAGCAGGCCACGAAAGGCCAGGAGCAGGCCACGAAAGGCAAGGAGCAGGCCACGAAAGGCCAGGAGCAGGCCACGAAAGGCCAGGAGCAGGCCACGAAAGGCCAGGAGCAGGCCACGAAAGGCCAGGAGCAGGCCACGAAAGGCCAGGAGCAGGCCACGAAAGGCCAGGAGCAGGCAACGAAAGGCCAGGAGCAGGCAACGAAAGGCCAGGAGCAGGCCACGAAAGGCCAGGAGCAGGCCACGAAAGGCCAGGAGCAGGCCACGAAAGGCCAGGAGCAGCAACAAATTTGAAAGACCAGCCCCAGCCTCCAGCCTCAGCCCCCGCCCCAGCCCCAAGACGGTCAAAACGTCTCGCTCCAAAGTTTCGTTCAAAACATTTCGCAGCCCCCAAGAAATTGGGAAACATGGTTCGCAAAAAAAAACTTTCGGTCAAAACGTTTCGTTCAAAACGTTTCGTTCAAAACTTTCGGTCAAAAAGTTTTTGGGACCCAAACCCTTAACAATTTCTATAAACCCTAAACCCTAAACCCTCTCTCTCAAATGAGTATTTAAATGTTGAGCCATTTTTTCGGCACGGACCCCCCAATGTTGAGCCAATTTTTCGGCAGGACCCCCCAATGCTGAGCCAATTTTGCGGCAGGAACCCCAATGTTGAGCCAATTTTTCGGCAGGACCCCCCAATGTTGAGCCAATTTTTCGGCAGGACCCCCCAATGTTGAGCCAATTTTTCGGCAGGACCCCCCAATGTTGAGCCAATTTTTCGGCAGGACCCCCCAATGTTGAGCCAATTTTTCGGCAGGACCCCCCAATGTTGAGCCAATTTTTCGGCAGGACCCCCCAATGTTGAGCCAATTTTTCGGCAGGACCCCAATGTTGAGCCAATTTTTCGGCAGGACCCCCCAATGTTGAGCCAATTTTTCGGCAGGACCCCCCAATGTTGAGCCAGTTTTTCGGCAGGACCCCCCAATGTTGAGCCAGTTTTTCGGCAGGACCCCCCAATGTTGAGCCATTTTTCGGCAGGACCCCCCGTCCCACCAGTGTTGCACCAGGTTTTCGTCAGGACCCCAGGGTTTGGGCTCTAGGGTTTAGGGCCTAGGGTTTGGGCTTTAGGGTTTAGGGCCTAGGGTTTGGCCTTTAGGGTTTAGGGCCTAGGGTTTGAGCTATAGGGTTTAGGGCCTAGGACTTTGAGGTTTAGGGTTTAGCGCTTGGGCTTTAGGGTTTAGGGCCTAGGGTTTGGGCTTTAGGGTTTAGGGCCTAGGGTTTGGGCTTTAGGGTTTAGGGCCTAGGGTTTGGCCCTTAAGGTTTAGGGCCTAGGGCCTAGCATTTGGGCTTTAGGGTTTAGGGCCTAGGGTTTGGGCTTTAGAGTTTAGGGCCTAGGGTTTTGGGCTTTAGGGTTTAGGGCCTAGGGCTTTAGGGTTAGGGTTTAGCGCTTGGGCTTTAGGGTTTAGGGCCTAGGATTTGGCCTTTAGGGTTTAAGGCCTAGGGTTTGTTTGGGCTTTAGGGTTCAGGACCTAGGGTTTGGGCTTTAAGTTTAAGGCCTAGGGTTTGGGCTTTAGGGTTTAGGGCCTAGGGTTTGGGCTTTAGTGTGTCATGCTTCTTTCTGTAAGGCAGAAAAGATGACACATATCCGGCCTGAAATGTGTCATGCTTTTTTCTGTAAGGCGGAAAAGATGACACATTTCCGGCTTGAAATGTGTCATGTTTCTTTCTGTAAGGCGGAAACGATGACACTCTGCAAGGCGGAAAAAATGACACATTTCCGGCCTGAAATGTGTCATGCTTCTTTCTGTACTGCAGCAATAGAAACATAAGTATATGCTAGAAATCAAGGCGTAGGGTTTGAGGTTTGATGTCGTCTGAGGGTAACGAAAAAATTTTTCTAACTCTTATGTATTGGGATTCTTTGGGTGGGTGGGTATTCTTCCAGGTTCTTACTAGCGAACTTGACTAGATACTGCTCGACCAGAGCTGCTGAACCCTAAACCCTAAACCCTAAACCCTAAACCCTAAACCCTAAACCTAAACCCTAAACCCTTAAACATAAACCCTAAAACCTCAACCCTAACCCTAAACCCTAAACCCGTAAACCCTCTAAACCACGGAAAAACCCGAAACCCCTACACCATAAACCCTAAAACCCTAAACCTTTCGTAAAAACCTAAAACCCAAACCCTTAACAATTTCTATAAACCCTAAACCCTAAACCCTAAACCCTAAACCCTAAACCCTAAACCCTAAACCCTAAACCCTAAACCCTCAAGAGCAGGATAAATATAAATTGTATGCGCAGCTCCGTTAGAAAGCGAGCTTTGGCATGTATGTGCAGCTCCGTTAGAAAGCGAGCCTTTGCAGCTTCGTCAAATCAACAATAGCAGCAATAAACATTGTACGAAGAAGGGAAGGGCAGAGCAGGGCAGGGTGGGACAGGCAGAGGAGAGCAGGCAGGGCAGGGCGGGGCGGGGCAGGGCGGCACAGGGCAGCGCAGCGCACGGCACGGCAAGGCAGGGCAGGCAGGGCAGGGCAGGGCAGGGCAGGGCAGGGCAGGGCAGGAGGGCAGGGCAGGGCAGGGCAGGGCAGGGCAGGGCAGGGCAGGGCAGGGCAGGGCAGGGCAGGGCAGGGCAGGGCAGGGCAGTGGGCCGGGAGGGTAGTGGCAGACACCAAAAGACAATCCTCAACTAAAATGGGGCGTTGGTTCCCGCCCCTCCCCGCCCCCCTCCCCCACCCTCCCCCCCTCCCTCCCCCTCCCCACCCGGTGCCTCCTCCGGAGGGTGGCACGAGTCTCACGGGGGGTAGTGACCAAAAAACAATCCTCAACTAAAATGGGGTGTGGGGCTCCCCCGCACCCCTCCCCACCCTCCCCCCCCTCCCTCCCCCCACCCGGTGCCCCCTCCGGAGGGTCCCCCCCCTCCCTCCCCCCTTCCCTCCCCCTCCCCCTCCATCCGCTCTCGCCTGCATGGTGTCCCAGGTACGTGGTCCCAACCCCAAGAAGACCGAAGTGAGGAGGTGAGCGCTGATTATCCTCAACCAATGTGGGGTCCCAGGTGCGTGGTCTCAGTCGAAGAAGGCGGAGGCAGGGACGAGGCCGGAGCATTTATCCTCACCCAATATGGGGTCCCAGGTGCGTGGTCTCAGCCCGAAGAAGGCGACGAGGCCGGAGCGCTTTTCCTCAACCAATACGTTCCAGGCGCGTGCTCGGAGGCGGGAGCGCTTATCCTCAACCAATATGGGGTCCCAGGTGCGTGCTCTCGCGGACCAGGCCGGCGCAATATGGGGTTCCAGGCGGGTGGTCTCAGCCCGAAGAAGGCGGAGGCGGGGACGAGGCCGGAGCTGGGGTCCCAGGTGCGTGCTCGGCAGGGACGAGGCCGGAGCGCTTATCCTCAACCAATATGGGGTCCCAGGTGCGAAAGCGGAGGCGGGGACGAGGCCGGCGCGCTTATCCTCGACCAACGTGGAGTCCCAGGTACGCGATCTCGGCCCGAAGAAGGTGAAGGTGGGGACGAGGGCGGAGCACTTATCCTCAACCGATATGTGCTCCTAGGTGCGTGCCCTACCGCAGCGTGCATCAGTGCCAGGTGCTTGAAGCCAGAAGAAGGCGAGCTTCAAGAGGAGGCGACAACAAGCTCGAAGGACTTACTCTCAGAATACGTTCTCGGCGCGTGGTCTCAACCTGAAGAAGACAGAGGCGGCGACAAGGCCGGATCGCCTATCCTCAACTGTCATGGGTTCCCAGGTTCGTGGTCTGGAGAGAACAGAAGCCGAGACCAGGCCGGAGTGCCTATCCTCAATCAATATGGGGTCCCAGGTGCGCGGTCTCAACTTGAAGAGGATGGAGGCGGGAACCAGGCCGGAGCACTTCTCCTCAACCAATATCGGGTCCGAGGTGCGTGGTCTCAACTCGAACAGGACGGAGGCGAGGAGAGGCCGGAGTGCCTATCCTCAACCAAGATAGGGTCCCAGGTGCATGGTTTCATCTTGGAGAAAAGAGAAAGGACGAGGCCTCAACCAATATGAGGTCCGAGGTGCGTGACCCCAGCAAAAAGACGACGGAGGCAAGGACAAGGCCGGGGTTCGAAGTGCGTGGCCCCAGGAAGCTCAAGCTGAAGAAGACAGAGGCAAGAACGAGGCCGGGAGGGCTTATCCTCAACCAATATAAGTTTCCGAGGCGTGGAAGCTCAAGATGAAGAAGGGCAAGGACAAGGCCGGGAGGGTTTATCATCAACCAATATGGGTTTCCAAGACGTGGGGTCTCAAGCTGCAGAAGCGCAATGACAAGGCCGGGAGGGTTTATCCTCAACTAGTATGGGTTTCCGAGGTGTGGAAGCTCACAAGTCGAAGAAGACAGAGGCAAGGACAAGGCCGGGAGGGTTTATACTCAACCAGTATGGGTTTCCGAGGTGCGGAAGCTCACAAGTCGAAGAAGACAGAGGCAACGGCAAGGCCGGGAGAGCTTATCCTCAACCGATGTGGGTTTCCGAGGTGCGGAAGCTCACAAGTCGAAGAAGACAGAGGCAACGGCAAGGCCGGGAGAGCTTATCCTCAACCGATGTGGGTTTCCGGGGTGTGGAAGCTCCAGCCGAAGAAGACAGAGGCAGGGACAAGGCGGGAAGGCTTATCCTCAACCGGTATGGGGTTCCGAGGTGTGGGAGCTCAAGCCGAAGAAGACAGAGGCAAGGACAATCCAGGGTATGGAAGCTTGAGCCTCAACCAATGTGGGTTGCCGAGGTGTGTGGTCTCAGCGACAAGGCTGAGAGGGCTTATCCGGAGAGCTTTTCCTCAAACAAAACAGGAACCTGAAGGTATGCAGTTCAGGAGCTAGCCGACCTTCCCCCTCCCCCTCCCTCCCCCTCCCATGCCCTATTGACGGCCTTTTCCGCCCCTTCCACAGTGGCACGAATTCAGGGAAGGTAGTGGCAGAAATCAATGGGGTGCGGGGTCTCCCCCCCGCCCCCCCTCCCCCTCCCCCCCTCCCTCCCCCTCCCCACCCGGGCCGGAGGGTGGGAGTCTCACGGGGGGTAGTGGGCAGACACCAAAAAACAATCCTCAACTAAAATGGGGTGTGGGGTTCCCCCCGCACCCCCTCCCTCCCCCCCCCACCCGGTGCCCCCTCCGGAGGCCCCCCCCCCCCTCCCTCCCCCTCCGCTCTGCCCCTCCCACCCCCTCCCAAACCCGCTCACTTAGACCGCAACCAGCGTGGAGTGCCAGGTGCGTATCCTCAAGAAGAAAAAGGCCGGGAGCGGGAACGAAGCCGTGCAGGCTCGCCTGCATGGTGTCCCAGGTACGTGGTCCCAACCCCAAGAAGACCGAAGTGAGGAGGTGAGCGCTGATTATCCTCAACCAATGTGGGGTCCCAGGTGCGTGGTCTCAGTCGAAGAAGGCGGAGGCAGGGACGAGGCCGGAGCACTTATCCTCACCCAATATGGGGTCCCAGGTGCGTGGTCTCAGCCCGAAGAAGGCGACGAGGCCGGAGCGCTTTTCCTCAACCAATATGTTCCAGGCGCGTGCTCGGAGGCGGGAGCGCTTATCCTCAACCAATATGGGGTCCCAGGTGCGTGCTCTCGCGGACCAGGCCGGCGCAATATGGGGTTCCAGGCGCGTGGTCTCAGCCCGAAGAAGGCGGAGGCGGGGACGAGGCCGGAGCTGGGGTCCCAGGTGCGTGCTCGGCAGGGACGAGGCCGGAGCGCTTATCCTCAACCAATATGGGGTCCCAGGTGCGAAAGCGGAGGCGGGGACGAGGCCGGAGCGCTTATCCTCGACCAACGTGGAGTCCCAGGTACGCGATCTCGGCCCGAAGAAGGTGAAGGTGGGGACGAGGGCGGAGCACTTATCCTCAACCGATATGGGGTCCTAGGTGCGTGCCCTACCGCAGCGTGCATCAGTGCCAGGTGCTTGAAGCCAGAAGAAGGCGAGCTTCAAGAGGAGGCGACAACAAGCTCGAAGGACTTACTCTCAGAATACGTTCTCGGCGCGTGGTCTCAACCTGAAGAAGACAGAGGCGGCGACAAGGCCGGATCGCCTATCCTCAACTGTCATGGGTTCCCAGGTTCGTGGTCTGGAGAGAACAGAAGCCGAGACCAGGCCGGAGTGCCTATCCTCAATCAATATGGGGTCCCAGGTGCGCGGTCTCAACTTGAAGAGGATGGAGGCGGGAACCAGGCCGGAGCACTTCTCCTCAACCAATATCGGGTCCGAGGTGCGTGGTCTCAACTCGAACAGGACGGAGGCGAGGAGAGGCCGGAGTGCCTATCCTCAACCAAGATAGGGTCCCAGGTGCATGGTTTCATCTTGGAGAAAAGAGAAAGGACGAGGCCTCAACCAATATGAGGTCCGAGGTGCGTGACCCCAGCAAAAAGACGACGGAGGCAAGGACAAGGCCGGGGTTCGAAGTGCGTGGCCCCAGGAAGCTCAAGCTGAAGAAGACAGAGGCAAGAACGAGGCCGGGAGGGCTTATCCTCAACCAATATAAGTTTCCGAGGCGTGGAAGCTCAAGATGAAGAAGGGCAAGGACAAGGCCGGGAGGGTTTATCATCAACCAATATGGGTTTCCAAGACGTGGGGTCTCAAGCTGCAGAAGCGCAATGACAAGGCCGGGAGGGTTTATCCTCAACTAGTATGGGTTTCCGAGGTGTGGAAGCTCACAAGTCGAAGAAGACAGAGGCAAGGACAAGGCCGGGAGGGTTTATACTCAACCAGTATGGGTTTCCGAGGTGCGGAAGCTCACAAGTCGAAGAAGACAGAGGCAACGGCAAGGCCGGGAGAGCTTATCCTCAACCGATGTGGGTTTCCGAGGTGCGGAAGCTCACAAGTCGAAGAAGACAGAGGCAACGACAAGGCCGGAAGAGCTTATCCTCAACCGATGTGGGTTTCCGGGGTGTGGAAGCTCCAGCCGAAGAAGACAGAGGCAGGGACAAGGCGGGAAGGCTTATCCTCAACCGGTATGGGGTTCCGAGGTGTGGGAGCTCAAGCCGAAGAAGACAGAGGCAAGGACAATCCAGGGTATGGAAGCTTGAGCCTCAACCAATGTGGGTTGCCGAGGTGTGTGGTCTCAGCGACAAGGCTGAGAGGGCTTATCCGGAGAGCTTTTCCTCAAACAAAACAGGAACCTGAAGGTATGCAGTTCAGGAGCTAGCCGACCTTCCCCCTCCCCCTCCCTCCCCCTCCCATGCCCTATTGACGGCCTCCCTTCCAGAGGTGGCACGAATTCTGAGGGAAGGTAGTGGCAGAAATCAATGGGGTGCGGGGTCTCCCCCCCGCCCCCCCTCCCCCGCCCTCCCCCCCCCCTCCTGGGCCGGGAGGGTAGTGGGCAGACACCAAAACACAATCCTCAACTAAAATGGGGCGTTGGTTCCCGCCCCTCCCCGCCCCCCTCCCCCACCCTCCCCCCTCCCTCCCCCTCCCCACCCGGTGCCTCCTCCGGAGGGTGGCACGAGTCTCACAGGGGGTAGTGACCAAAAAACAATCCTCAACTAAAATGGGGTGTGGGGCTCCCCCGCACCCCTCCCCACCCTCCCCCCCCTCCCTCCCCCCCCACCCGGTGCCCCCTCCGGAGGGTCCCCCCCCTCCCTCCCCCCCTTCCCTCCCCCGCTCCCTTCCCTCCCCCTCGCTCTGCCCCTCCCACCCCCTCCCAAACCCGCTCACTTAGACCGCAACTAGCGTGGAGTGCCAGGTGCGTATCCTCAAGACCGCCATGGTAACCTGCGAGCCGCATGACGCAGGCAAGCTGAACCAAATCCCGCCACCCTCTTTGCCTTCAGATTTTAGACCCAACCGTCTCAGCCCCTACGCACCAGGGCCCAGCCCAGCAGCCCAGCAGCCCACAACCCCGCAACAGCAGCACCCAGCCCAGCCCAGAGCCCCCTTCCCCAGTCCCAGCCCGGTCAATCAAGGGCTCAGCCAGCCAATAATGCCCAAGCCCACTCGGGACCTGAACCCCCGCCACCCTCCTTGCCTTCAGATTTTAGACCCACCCGCCTCAGCCCCTACGCACCAGGGCCCAGCCCACCAGCCCGGTCAATCAACCCCTTCGCAGCTCAAGCCGGGGGCTTAGCCAGCCGACAATGCCCAAGCCCTCGCTGGTCCAGCCCAGCCCAGCCACTTCGCCAGCCGAATGCCCAAGCCCTAGCCGGTCCAGCCCAGCCCAGCCACTTCCCAAAGTCAAAATGACAAAGCAAAAACAAAAACCCGCTCAAAACTCGGTAAAAACTTTGTCAAAACTCGGTCAAAACTCGGTCAAAACTCGGGACCTGAACCCTATACAATTTCTATAAACTGAAGGCCGACCCCCCACCGCAGCGAATGGGGTCGGCCGCAGCAGGCGGACCGGAAGGCGCCTGCCGGACCGTAGGCGATGGCTGAATAGCGAGCCGTAGGTCCTGGACCTCAGGTCCACGCGGCTCCAGTGAATAGGCCGCTACTGTCAGCCTATAAAGTAATAACCCTAAACCTTGGTGCGAACCGGCCGGGGACCCTTGAAATCCTCTTTTCTGGGCCCCGGTAAACCTTGGTGCAAATGGCCGGGGACCCTTGAAATCCACCAACCTTAAATTAAGGACCTGTCGGCCACAATTAAGGATTGAGACTTCAAATTAAGGACGAGGCTTTAAAACTAAGGATTGGAGCCGAAAATGAAGGACTGGGGCTGCAAAATTCAGGCTTGGAACCTAAAATTGCGGACCGGTGCTCCAAAATTTTGGATTGGGACCTCAAATTAAGGACCGGCCCCAAGACCCGGCAGTACTATCTGCTACGGCCAAGAGTGGGCCAGAAAGAGCCACCAAGACCCGGCAGTACGATTTGTTACGGCCAAGAGTGGGCCAGAAAGAGCCACCAAGACCCGGCAGTACGATTTGTTACAGCCAAAAGTGGGCCAGAAAGAGCCACCAAGACCCGGCAGTACGATTTGTTAC